CGGGATCTTGGGCACGCATGCACACGCGCCCGGCGTGAGTTTTTTAAGCCACCGGGTCCGGGCGTGAACAAGAGATTTTTGCTATAGGGCGCGTGTGCTCGCCAGACAGACAGAGAGAGACATAGAGACAGCAAGAGAGAAATCACCCCCCAGGGGGGATGGTCACGCCGCAATCTCTTCTCCTCCATTCTCCTCTCGGGATCTTGGGCGGGCACGCACGCACACGTGCCCGGCGTGAATTTTAAGCTACCGGGTCCGGGACACGAACCGTGTTCGACTACGTGGGAATCCAGCGACATAGCCATTACGCTAACTGCTGGTTCCCACCTGGCTGTTTTTGATTCTGTGAACTAGCTAGATTGTCACAATCCAGCTTGGGGCAACCCTTCTTCATCCACATCATCTTCCCAGTCTGGGTTCTGCACCCTCTGGGAAATCCTGCCTCCATCTCAGCCCTTTCATACTAGGACAGTTCCTCTGAATTCTTTAAAGGCAGGGGACATGTTTTCCTTCTGTTTTTAGAAATTAATGGTTGGCCTATTTTAAAGCATCAGTGCATATTTGTTGAGTGATGAATGAATGAATAGAAATATTAAGGAACTTAAAGTTAGCAGAAATACCCACATGATTATCTTGTAAACCCGAGTGTTATTTCAGCCATCTCTTTTTGTTTTTTTGTTTTTTTTTTTAATTTGTTTATTTATTTATTTATTTATTCTGCCATAAGGTACATGTGCTTGACAGAAAGAGGGAAAGTGAGAAATCACCCTCCAGGCAAGGGGGCCACACTACAATCCCTTCTCCATTGTCCTCTTGGGATATTGGGCACACACGTAAACATGCTTCATGTAAATTCAAAGCCACTGGGTCTAGGACTAGAACCATAGTCAGCCATGTGAGAGTCCATTGCCTCAACCACCATGCCACCTGCTGGCCCCTTTATATGTTTTCTTTGTTTGTTTGTTTTTCAAGAGAGAAAAGCAGGCACCCTCAATAGGGTCTGATCACACTGTGTCCTTTGCTGTGCAGAAACTTCTCAATCTGAAGTCCCACCTGCTTATTTTGGGGATTGTTGCCTGTGCTTCTGGGGTCTTGCTTAAGAAGTCTTTTCCTACCCCAATGTCTCCCAGAGTTTCCCCATTGTTTTCCACCAGTAGTTTTATAATTTGCAGTCTTTGATCCACTTTGAGTTGATTTTTATTAATGGTGACTGATAGGGGTTCAGATTCATCTTTCTGCAGTTGGATACCCAGCTTTTCCAGCACCATTTGCTAAAGAGGTTTCCCTTTTCCCACTGGATTGACTGGTACCCTTTGTCAAAGATCAGTTGGCTGTATGTTTGAGGGTTTACTTCTGGGTCTCTACTCTGTTCCATTGGTCCTCATGTCTGTTTTTGTGCCAAAACTATGCTATTTTGATTATCACAGCTTTGTAATATATTGGATCAGGAAGTGAGATGCTCCCTGCTCCACTCTTCTTGCACAGAATACGTGATCTTTTATGATTCCAGACAAATTCTATGATTGTCTTTTCTAGAACTGTGAAGAATGTCTCTTGTAATTTTATAGGGATTGCATTAAATATGTAGATTAATTTGAGTAGGATTGCCATTTTGATTATATGAATTCTGCCAATCTAGGAACATGGGATGTCCTTTCATTTTTTTGTGTCCTTATTGATTTCCTTTTTAAGTTTTTCATTGTTTTCCTTATAGAGGTCTTTGACTTTCTTTGATAGTTTTATTCCTGAGTATCTTATACTTCTTGTGGCTATAATAAATGGGATAACTTTCTTCAGTTCGGTCTCTGTCTGCTTGTTGTTTGTATATAGAAGTGCTATAGATTTTTGTAAGTTAGTTTTGTATCCTGCCACTTCAAGAAGTTTTCTCGTGGATACTATTGAGTCTTCTATGTAAACAATCATGTCATCCGCAAATGGATAATTTCGCTATTGGAATGCCTTTTAATTCCTTCTCTTGTCTGATTGTATGGCTAGGACTTCCAGTACTACATTAAATAGAGAAAGTGGGCAGCCTTGTCTTGTACCAGTTTTTTAGTGGAAAAGCTTTCAGCTTTTCCCCATTCAGTATAATGTTAGCTATAGGTTTTTTGTAAATGTCTTTTCTTATGCGGAAAAACAATCCTTCTATGCCAATTTTACTGAGCTTCTAATCATGAAAAGATGTTGTATTTTGTCAAATGCTCTTTCTGCATTGATTGAAATGATCATATGGTTTTTATCTTTCTTTCTGTTAATATGGTGCATTACATTTATGGTTTTGCATATGTTGAACCACCCTTGCATCCCTGGAATAAAGCCTACCTTACCTGGTTGTGATGAATAACCTTTTTTTATATGCTGTTGAATACAGTTAGCAAGTACTTTGTTGAGAATTTTTGCATCTATATTCATCAGATATACAGGTCTGTAGTTTTCCTTTTTTGTTGTATTCTTATCTGTTTTGGGAATGAGGGTAATGGAGGTTTCATAGAATGAATTTGGAAGAGTCCCTTCCTTTTAGATCTCTAGAAACAGTTTGAGTAGAATCCATCAGGACCTGGATTTTTCTTTGTTGGAAGGTTATTACTGATTCAGTCTCATTGCTTGTTACGTGTCTGTTCAGGCTTTTGATGTCCTCCTGAGTCAATCTTGGTAGATTATATGTCCAGGAATTTGTCCATGTCACTCAGGTTTTCTTCTTTGCTGGCATATAGTCACTCATAGTATCCTCTAATGATGTTTTGTATTTCTGTTATGTCTGTTGTAATGTTGCCTGATTCATCGCAAATTTATCTGGTTCCTTTCTTTCTTTTTCTTAATTAGTCTAGCTAATGGTGTGTCAATCTTGTTTATCTTTTTCCCCCCTAAAAAAAGAATTTTATTTATAGAAATACCATTTCAGAAGGTAACTGAGTAGAATGACACTCATCTTACACAGGCATATTTTAGTAGACTGGCTTTCTCATTCTTGGTCAAGAAGGTTCTCTAATTGATGATTGATACTTTGCAGATGGTTTTCAGCTCCCAAGAGAGTTCTTGCTTTAAATAACAATGCTAGGGGGACCAGCAGGTGGCGTGGTGGTTAAGGTGTTGGACACTCCCACATGGCCTACCACAGTTTGAGTCCCAGATCTGGTGGCTCATTTTCTCAGTTTCCCTCTCTCTCTGTCTCTCTCTGTGTCTCTCTCTGGTCAAATGAAAATAAATAAAAGAAAATAAATAATACTTTAAAATAAATAAATAAACAAACAAAAAACAAACAAATTAGTAACAGTGCTGGAAGGCTGGATGAATCATACATTTCCTTTACATTTGGTTCTTCTTCTTGAACATCTGAATAATCTTGATAAAGCTGTTTTAAACTAGATAAGAAATGCACAACATTACTAAGGGATGATTTTCTGTCCTTGAGTTCATCATACTTTGTTGGTAGTTGTTTCAGTTGTGGTTCTAACCAGAACAGTTCACCCTGGACTTCAATCAAACTCTGCCTTTTCTTTGCAATATCTAAAATAATCTTAGCACTCTTTATTTTCATATTTTTCAACATCTGGACTTCTTTAAGTGTTTTTTTGCTTTGTTTTTTAGCTCTTTTGTTTTTTGCTATAGGGCACGTGTGCTCGCCAGAAAGACAGAGAGAGACAGAGAGACAGAAAGTGAGAAATCACCCCCTAGGGGGAATGGCCACGCCATAGTCCCTTCTCCTCCATTCTTCTCTTGGGATCTTGGGCACATATGCATACGCACCCAGTGTGAGTTTAAGCCACCAGGTCTGGGACTCAAACCGCGGTTGACTACATGGGAGTCCACCGACATAGCCATTATGCTAACTGCTGGTCCCTCTTTAAGTGTTTTGATGAGTTCTTTAATATTAAAATGAAATTTGTTGATAGTTTCCTTCTATTTTTTGTTTATATTCTAAGAAGATTTTCTCAAATGCAGACAAAACAGTATCCAACTCCATGATGTCACTGATTTTCCTTCCTTCTAGACACCAAATATGCATATTGTCAGAAAGATCGGGGTCTATGGCTTCACTTCTTGATTTCTTCTTTTTGCCATGAGACAGCTTCCCTTTATTCTGAGTTTCTGGCTGATTTTCTGTTGCAAGAGTCTCTTTGACGACACAGGTCTGGTCACTTAGGAGTCCTCTCTTTAGCAGTAGCCAATTCAGGCGATTTCCCTGAATGTTCTGAAGATCTCATAGTTGGAATGGTTTCATGCTGTGTATTTATTTTTTTCTGCTGATTTAACTTTTCTTCTTATATCACTTTGTTCAGTGCTTTCAGATTCATTACAAATGGGCTCTAGTTTTCTTCCTGGCTTTTTTGCACTGACTTTTACAGATTTGCCTCCACTTGCTCCATTTTCAGAAGTGTCTGAACTTCTTGGTGTTTTTTCTTGAGGAGTTGCAGGGATAGATGCTCTGTAGTGTTGGTAGAGTGCTTCATCATCAGTGTATATAACAGTGCTGTGATCACACCTTGGGTCCATCCCCGTCCATTTGGTACCTCTGTCAGTTACACATGGTTTTCTGCA